TCACAGGCCTTCAGGTAAGTGGCAGTGCCACGTGCGAGCCCAAGCCCTCCCCCTACACCCCCATTCCTCACTGTGGCTGTAGAGCTGGCCATGGAGCTGTGCTCCAGTTGCATGCCAGCCTCCCTCTCCCCCTCCCCTGGGCAGGCAGCCGGGCAGCATGTATGCGGCCTGCACATGGTGGGCACCACCACACTGCTCCCTGCATCCCTTGCCCACAAAGGCCCCTGCAGAGGGGCACCCCTGCTCTTACCCCCGGCCCTGCTCCCAGCTGCGGTGTGCTGCCTCAGGCCGGAAGCACCTGCCATTCCCTCAGCCCCCAACCATCTTCCCCCAGCCCTGCCCTAGCCCCACTTACCTCAGTGCTCCAGGGATTAAGGACGAGTGTGAGCCTAAGTCCAGCCTTGGCTGACTCAGAGGCTCAGGCCCTCCCTGCCCCCTCTCCCTCCCTCTCCCCCTCCAGCCAGGGCTGGGGGTTTCCTGCCCTTTTTGCAATCAGCTGGAACGGTGCCAGCCTGCAAGAGCTCTTTGCAAATGTGGAGAATCTGCAGATTTCTCTGCTAAAAAGAGAAATCTGCTTTTTCGCCAATTAAAAACAGGCAATCCATGGTTTTCTCCATTTTTCTGTGGGAAACGGAAAACCTGGATCCCTGATAATCAGTACCCACATGGATCAATTCTTTGGCTACAAGAGAATCATTTAGATACAATTAGTTTTTGTTTGTTTGATTTTACTTGCCCATTGGTGTCATTGTTCCCTCTCAGCATGCTAAAAGGAAGCTTGATTTCCATCATGATGGCTATTCTTACCTCTGAATCCATTTTGTTCTATAGGCAATTGTTGGTTTACAGTCTCTTCAGTGACCTTTGTAGGACTACATTTATGTTCAGTATTAACTTCACAAAGCAAGGCCTGCTTCCTTTCGTTATAGCTTTTGACAAAAAATCATGTTGGATTGAATTTGAATGCTGAATGGATTTGAATGGATTGAATTTGAATGCTGACTGTATGTGTTCTTCTTCACTTACCACATGGAAATGCAATGAATACTGGGAATTCTGATCAAGTAGCATGTAGTGACTGGCCTTGTATTTATTGAAACAAGCTCCCCTTATAATTTACTGACTTTTGTTCAGATTACTCCTCTGAGGGCAAAGAGCCTGGAGTTTGGCTCCCTTTTGTTGTTGTTCATCATTATTTTCCATATTTTCCCCATTTTGCATTTTTACAGTATTTAGTAACTGAAAAGAAATGGAGAAAAAATAAAATATGCTGAAAATAGTTAGGCAGGCTCTTTGTACAAACAGTGGAAAAGCAGGGTTCTAAAAAGGTCAGTAATTCTAATCAAATGCCAAATATGCGCTAACATGCTTCATGGGCATTGAACCTCGGGTATAATTTGAAGCTAAATATGAATGAGCATGAATTTTGTTATAGCTGTGACTAATGTGTCCATAGATTAAACTCCTTTTTAGTCTGCATGTCTATTTTATCATTTTGTTTCATTTGAAAGGGAAAACAGTAAACCAATTTGTATATTAACTCAGTAGCACTGAAAGACAAGAAGTTATATAAAAGACCAATTAAAGAAGTAATAGAATTGTTAAGTGCAACATTTTGTATCAAAATGAGAGAAATAAAATTATCATCGAGAGAGAAGCATTGTGGTGAAAGAACATTTTGTAAATCAAATTATTATTATACTGGCTAAATACTTGTCTACACAAAGTCTGGCTTTTACTCACTTAAGGCTGGCCACAGTTGGAGACAAGATACTGGATCTCTTATTCCGGTGTGATGATTCCTATACTCAGAAAATCTCAGGAGTCCAGGATTCTTTTGCTTGTAGTTAAATGCCAGTCCCTTGGGAATATGGACTTTCTAACAAGCCAGAGAGTTTCTATTTGTGGAATTCATGAATGCATTAGTATTTGTGCAGGTTACAGGCCAGTGCCATGGATCAAATATTTTGTGGTGTCCTTTCTTTCGACCCCTTCTAAGCTCAAGCCTCCCTTTCACAGTTCTTCACCCAAGAACTTTGGGAAAGTCTGTTTCCACTGGAACCAAAAGAGTTCCATGAGAAAATAATGTATTCTGAGGATGTATGTATTGTTCTCAACAATAAAAAGGCTCACCGTGACCTTAATGAAAAATAAGGATCCTGTGGAACTGGCAAGGGAAGGAGAAGAGCCACAGATAGAAGACCTTCTTTCTACATGACTTTGTGGGAAGAAGGTTATGATTTGCCCTTTTTGTATATTCAGTCACAACTGCTGGCTTCATGAACTGACTACTTTTTAGTTTTGTAAGTGTTGCAATGGCAACACAGTTTTGGAAAGGAAAACTGTGTTCAATCTCTTTGTTCAGCTTCAGGTAATCTTTTGTGACCCGTTGAACCCACTGTGCCTTATGTAGTTATTCAAAGTACTGCAAAGAGGGTGTCAAATGCTATCATTCTTATTTTGAAGCACTGAGGAGAATGGCAGAAAGTACATGGTAATGGGTAATCTTCAGATTTGGATTAGGCCAAATTGAATCGGGACAGTGATCTGAATCAACAAATCAAATCACTGTCCCCAATTCGGGACGAATCTGAATCCAAATCAAATATGGCCCATTTCGCACACCCCTAAAGCTACCCCTATACCACCTCAACTCTGCAAGAATGCAGATGAGGGAAAATGGATATTGAATTCTCTACTTGCACAGCTTTCTTCACCTTCATAGGAGGGTGAGATTGAGCAGGCCACTCAGGGAATTAAGGTAGTCCCATATCCCTGTATTTTTTGGTATCTGAGTGCTTCAGAAATGGTGAGAATTGCTTTCCTGGTAGGTGAGTAGTCACACTGAATATACTGCTAATTTGTATTTCTCAGACAAACTCACAGCATATTCTTTAGTTTTTGGTGCATTAACAATTAGCTGCAAATTTACAATTTATAGATTGAAGATTGATGCCACGTCTAACAGTGTGCCTCAGTTGTGAAGTCAGAAATCAAATATGTCTATGTTGTGAGTCTTCAAACTGCTTTCTCATGTCTAGATGCCTCTGGCCTCAGGAGCTTTCTCATCCAGTTGGGTTTTTTAGAGATGCAGGGATGTTCCATTCATATCTCCTGTTCCTCATCTTCTCCAGTTATGTCCAAGGCAGAGAAGGGTGGTACAGGAGCTGTTGTAAGGCTTGTGATCACTGCAAGCTTCCTCCACAGAGTTAAGCCAACTGTTTGGATGTGGTGTCCCGCTCAGGAGTCTGTAGCCGAATGGAGGAGCTGATTAAGCTGTTACTGAAAAATACTTCGAATATGGGCTTGGGCAATCTCTATAGATATGATTGTTTCTTTCTTTTTAGGAATACACTATAGATATAATTTTTGCCCAAACTTGGTATGACAGTCGTCTAAAATTTAACAGTTCAATGAAAGTACTTATGCTTAATAGCAATATGGTTGGAAAAATATGGATTCCAGATACATTCTTCCGGAACTCAAGAAAATCTGATGCTCATTGGATCACAACTCCAAACCGTTTGCTTCGAATCTGGAATGATGGGCGAATATTATATACTCTGAGGTATGTGTATGGATATAAAAAATATAGCTCTTTCCTAATATTTTCACTATTACTTTCTTCAATCTATTAAACTAGTAATTTTACCTCTTTAAAAATACAAGTGTCAGGCATAAGTGAAAGACCACTACAATGTAAAATGTTGTGCCCAGGCAGGGATAGTTTTATAGTTCACAATAATTTCCAGGTCTTTTTGTTTCTGAGTTACAAAAGTTAGAAACAAAGGTTTAGAAGAAAAACATTGCAGCTTAGTGAAGCAGAACATTAAATACATACTGCTGTGATGTACTACCAAATAAGAAAAGCAGAGAAACTAAATCTGAACAAGTGGCAGATATTTTTTTAAGGTACAGGAAGTAAGTAAAGTTAAATAAGGTTATTTAATGTAATTTATGAAGTAAGTAGGATAGCTGTGTTCCACTTTTGAAGTGTCACCAATCCAACTGTATGCTACACAGCAGACTTACTGAACCAAACTGAACTCTTACATTTGTCTTGTAGCTATTTTCCACAAAATTAAGTACACTGAAACAAAGCATTTAGATAAAACATTAGAAGTCATAAGTACTTTGATTAAACATTTAACTTTTAACATGCCAGCAAAGGCCCTATCCTGCAAATTCTTCTATATGGATTTACCTTTACTCCCTTAAAGAGCACCAATAAAATCAGTGGCACCACTGACATGTTTGAAATAAAGCATGTGCATAAATGTTTACAGGATTAAGGCTGAAAGGTTAAATTGAGTGGTAACAATGAGACAGTTTAATGTAATAAATACTTAGGCTTGGCAGAATTCAATTTTAATTTTTTAAAATAATTTCAATGGCTAAAATTGATGTTTATTTTTAAGCATTTACTTTGATTTTTATTGATTTAAATTTCAGGATTGCACAAAATCAAGGGTGTGGTAGGAAGACAATTTAGTAATGACAGTGTACAGTTAAAAGCTTTATAAAATCACATGTCAAAATATAAAAAGTAAATATCTATAAATCAATAAATCATGCCTGCTTTGAATCATTCTGTTCATTCATCAGAAAAGAGCTGGGCAGGCAGGGTCCAGAAGAGGAGGGCAGGGGCACTCCCAGAGCTCTGGGAACACAGGAAGAGGTGGCAAGGGCCAGCCCCCCCCCCACAAATTAGTGGACCCAGGGAGGACCCTGCTGCCACCAGACTGGATTGTCAAATGCTCTTCCCTCCCCTCTCCTTCCCCTCCCCTGCTCTGAGGTTTGGGTGGGGGTTTGTTTAAGTAGCCTGTTATCTCCCTCCAGCCCACTTCTGCACCTGCAAACCAGTAGTTAATTGCTTACTTGATGAGTCATTAAGCCACCTATTTTTTTCTCTTTAACCTGTCTGCCCTCTATCCCTCCGTCTCTCTTTCTTCACTGCCCAGTAATGGGGTAAGGGTTTCCTGTTGTAAAAAAAATTTCCATCGGTCTGTGAGTATGAGGTGAAATTGGTGCTTATTGATGTTTATCAATGAAAATCAAATCCTGCCAAGCCTATAAATACCATACTGAGCAGTAAGTTTTCACAGTTTGGATCCCTTCCAAGTTCATAGTATTATCCCATACACCTTGTTGGGGAAAAAATATAAAACTTGGGTACTTTTGATAAAATTGTTGGATTAAAAAAAAAAAAAATCTTATTTTACAACTCACTCTGTTTTTGCCATGTGCTGGCTAGGCATTCTTTGGGACTAATATTTATTTGCAAATGTAGGAAATCTGCAATAATACCTTGGAAATATAAGGAGCTAAAATTATTAAAAAGAACATAGTTCAGTGTACTTTTCTTAAGAAGTCTTTAAAGCATGCTTATAGAACTTTCTTTAAGTAGTTCATTTTGTTTGTTTTTAATTAAATTTACAATACAGAGTTTTCTTCTCAATTGCTAATGTTTAAAATGGTGTTTATTGAGTGATAACATAATACTTTGCCCATCTCTGTTAATGGATCAAAGCCCCCTGTTCAATTAAGTCTCAGGGTTTCTGTTGCCATTTCTTGTCAACTTTGTTTTACGTGAACTAGGGGAGACCACTCATATGAGCTCTCCCAGACTGTTGGGTAGTGCTAACGTATAGGATTAGAAGTGTAATGGACCAGTAGTAAAACAGGAACATATTGACTATATACCCAGCACTGTCAATACAACTCATATTTATGGAGAAAAGAGTTTAGCCCAAGGTGGAAGCACATGGAGAAAAGTAGAATTTATACAACAGTGATTGAAGGAGTAAAAACAGAATATAACAATGTTTCAAGCTGTTAGGCTTCCCAGCACCCCCAAATGGCCTTTCCCATTGGCTCTTAACAGGTAGGATTAGCCATTCTTCACACTGACTTTGTTTACAGGCTGATGTTTGTTATTCTACCTGCTCTCATGTTTCTTATTCTTTGCTTAATTTGGATTCTCTTTCATTAAAGTAAGCTTTTGTAGGTTAATTATCCAAAGAAAGAAAACCACAGAATAGAGGGCAGGGAAAATACATTTTATTATATTTAATTACAACAAAAACATCAACAGTTTTTGGATGCAAAATTTTCCATTTGAAATACAGGGCATTTTTCCCCTACAGCATTTCCCTCTGGCATCTAATGCCTGTCTGCTTCTTTCAGTTGTTCAGAACAGATTTCCAGAAAAGTTCCAAAAAAGAGTGTACAGAAAGTAATTGCTTACTTCATAGACCTCTTCTGCACATTCCCATGTGCAAAGTAATCTCTTTCATGGGGATATTTAAGCACTGCATTACTCAGACATTGGTTTTAGCTGGTTTTTTACTTGTTTTCACCATGCTACCAATAGAAGGGAAAATTTCTAAATGAGCACATAACACTTCACTAGTTTCTATTGGAAGTTAGTTTGAGGTGGATAGTTCCTGTGTGTCTTTGAAAATGTTCTCAATGAGTGTGGCATAAAATTTTCTAAAGGATCTAAGTGATCCAGCAGCCTAAGTTGTATTAAGACCTGAATCTCTCATGAAAATGATTCTTAGGCTGCTGAATCATTTACATGTTTTTAACAATTTTACTCATATCTGTTCTTTCTTTAAGAATCCAATCCTACTACTCACATTAGTACTGCTAGTTCATTATATGGCACTGGTGTTCAACTTCAGGCCTGTGAAACTGTGTTATCTGGAGAGTGGGTCTCCGCATAGGTTCAGAAATTTGGTGGCAGGGGGGCGGTGATAATGTTAATTGCAGGTCCCCTCTTGCCAAATTTCTGGACCTCTGGAGAGTCACATGGGCCAGATGATTTGGTCTTGCATGCTAGACTGCAGCAGCTGGATCTAGCTCCATGGATGGGTCCAGTATGCAGGGATCAGTTGCACCAAATTGCACCCATGGACCGACCTCATGCTAGATCAGATCCTCAGACTGACCCTGTGCCACTCATCCCATCCGCTATTGGTCTGTGGGAGTCAGGTCTGCTGAATTCACCCCTGAATATCCACTTCCTCCAAGGCATACCTTGCTAAAGCAATACTTGCTAATAAAAAGCTTTGTGTTGCATTGGTATTTGGAATTGTTGTGTCTCATTCAACATAATGATTCCAAAAAAATGTAAGGCAAGCCATTTATTAGCAAGGTATCAGGCAGTCTTTTGTACACAAATAGTAAAAATGTAAATTCTTGCACACCCTCATTAACAAAGCTGCTGACTGTCAATAGCTGCCACAGAAAAGGTAAGTGGCCTCAAGTTTTCAGGAGCTAATACCTGGGGATGCAGTGAAGGAAGAGAAGTTCCTCCTCCACCTCTGCTAATGTAGAGTGAGAGAACTTCTTGGCTGGGCTAAGCCATGCTCCTTGGTAATACTTCCTTCCCCTTGCTTGCTGTGGTAATATCTCTTCACAGTGGCAATGCATAGGGAGTGCATGGGTGTACACATGCACCCCCTGAGAGCACTGGTACACCCCCTGACAACCAGTGTTCCCTGCTTGCTTAGGTGATGGGCAGCAGGGGACAGGTGATAGCGCTGGTGTCCCCCCAAGAATGCTGGCCTGGGAGTGAGGGCACCAGGAGAGGCAATCTCCGCGGTCCCTCCCACGGCCAATCGCACTGACCCAGAAGTGCCAGCAGCACGCTCAGAAGTGCACTTCAGCATGAGTGGCTGTAGGGTGCCCCCCCCAGTCATCGCAATTGGCTGTGGGGGACCCCCCTGTCACTCACTGGCTGTTGGGGGGGCAAGTGCCCCCCCCGACTCAGGAGGCGCCAGTCGCCTATGTCTCCTCATTCTGTTTTAATCTGCTTTTACCAGAGAAGACATGAAAGGACTCAAGAGTCAAAACAGTATGCTTGAAATGCTTGCAGGTAGCATCATACATATTAAGATAACTGGATACACAAGTCTTCCAACAGTATTTGATAATAGTTGCCTTTTTTGGGGAGGGAAAGTATACTGAATGCTTTTGTATACCAGCACATAAATGCTTATTTCTAACATACATTATTTGGCCAACATTAACTCTTTAGTATCTGCCCCTAAGTGTTAGGATGCTTGAGACAAAATTAACCTGACTCATAAAACTTTTTTTTCTAATTAGGTTGACAATTAATGCTGAATGTTATCTTCAGCTTCATAACTTTCCTATGGATGAACATTCCTGCCCTCTGGAGTTTTCAAGCTGTAGGTGGTAAAATATTTTGTTACTTTCTTCCATTTGATTTAAATACAGGCACATTGATAAGTAGACTGCAAAATAGAAAACTATTGCAGTTTAATTTTTTATACAGAATTTAAAAAATAAATTGTTTATAGTTTGCCTACTCTTATTTTGACTGAAATAAAATGAAAGACACATGAATGATGCTACATGCAATCTGTTTTGCTGCAACTTTAAAAGGTTAGAGGTAATCATATTGATTAGAAGCCTGCTGCATACTTCATTGAAGTTAATACGAGTCTGTCCATAGATTAAGAGGCTCTAGATCAGAGGACAAAATGGGTGACAGAATAGATGTGTATATATATTCACGCAGGTGCATATGTGTGAATTTGAATTTATATTTCTACAAGATGTATCAACTTTTAACTGATTGCATGTAGTATATTTAACATTATAAAACAATATTATTCTGCTCATAGCCTGTACATTTATGATTTAAATATTTACTTGTCACAGCTAGTCTCTCTGCCTTTAAAACAAGTTGTATGAATAAGAATTAGTTAGCTGCAAAATTAGTCCCTTTAATATACACAATAATAAGCATACAAAATTAATTTGTTCCCAAAGAGAGAAAACATCTAAGCAATTTATTCCCAAATGTACAACTTAATAGGGGGTGAAATCAAACACTAGTGAATCTTCTTAAATTAGTATTGCCACTTTTGATTCTTGCATACTTCTAACTAAGCATGTTTTCAAACCAGCCTTTTAAAAATTGAGTTGTCTTTGTGCAACTGTGTGAATTTCAGCGCTGCATTCCCAGTATGAAATGGGAGGAACTCCATTGAAATTAAAAGGATTACACCACCCTAAAGCTGAAGGATCACAGAGTGAATCTGGCCATAAATGCTCTGTCTAAGAATGGAAAGGAAAAGTATATATCTTGTTAGACAAATTAAGAAATAAAGTGTCTACCACTTTGAAATTAAATCATTCCTTTTGAATTGTGCCAATGTATTATATTGTGTTAACATTCAAATCTCTGACAAATCATTCCAAATAAAAGGTGGTTTGGTTTATATTCAAGAATAGGTATTACAGTTTTTCCTTAAGTTGTATGTTTGCCTTCAAAGTTCTGTATCTGTATAGTTTTCGCTGGTAATACATTTAGTCATGCTTAAAATTGTCAGACATTTTGAAGTTAACCTATATGAGGAATCTTTAAGTCTTATGTAGCAATTCTTGTCTGACCCAATTATTCAGTTTATACATATACTGCAGATATCACAAGTAACGAGACTTTTTTGCTGCATACTGTAACTGAATGCCTGAATTGCTCTATTTTGTTCTAGATGGGTATCCCAGAAATGAAATTGAATACAAATGGAAAAAAACCTCTGTTGAAGTGGCAGATCCCAAATACTGGAGACTGTACCAGTTTGCATTTGTAGGGCTAAGAAATACAACTGAAATTTCTCATACTCTGTCTGGTAAGGAATCAGTTTAAAACAACAACATCAAATAAAGATGCAACTGAAAACAACTTGCAATATCTAATTAGGATTACAATGGGCTTTTATTTTCCCTTGTAGGAGAATATATTATCATGAGAATCTTCTTCGATTTGAGCCGACGTATGGGATATTTTACTATTCAGACATACATTCCTTGCATACTCACAGTAGTTCTTTCTTGGGTGTCATTTTGGATTAATAAAGATGCAGTGCCTGCAAGGACATCATTGGGTATGTATTTATTTCCAGTCTGATAGGTTCTTATATTCCTCATGTACAGAAATCTTAAAAGAAAAAGAAATTAATTGATAAACATCACCGGTTAAAAGCCTGTTTGTTGGTTAATCCTGTTCCATTGTACCTTGGGGCTTGTGGCAACAGAGGAGGAACTGGGAAGTCCTGAGACCATCCTAATCCAAACTCTGCACATCTGAAGTTAAGCAAATAAAAGAGCTTTCCCTTGGTATTTTATAGAGGGAATATTGCAGGAATGACAACATGACTATATTTAGGCTCTAATGAGTGTCTTGGAACACAGGGACAAATTAATGAAGGAAGAGTCAATCCAAGTTTTCACATGATGTCTCTCTGAGTCTGTCTTGAATGAAGGCTACTGGGTAATTTGTTCTCTGATTCATTTCTTGGTATTATGGTATCATTTTCTTTTCTCAGTATACTATAGGTGCAGAAAGGAAAGACCCATTCACATTATAGTAATTTCTCTCCTCATTCTCCTTTGGAAAATCACCCCAATTTTTGTTATTGAGAAAATTAAGCCCATGTAACATGAGTGTAAGAGCAGAATTAAGCTGCAGCTCTATAACAGCCATAACTTTATGCTCCTTTCCATGCCAGGGAGTAGATAGGAGCCTATGGGCATGTCTGTATTGCCTCTGTTTCATCCCAGGAGCAGCTCTAGTAAGTAAATCTTATCCATTCTTTCACACACCACTGCATGCCAGCTCAGGAGTGTTAATCAGCATTGCCTCAGTTCTCTCATTTGGCCCATGTGAAGTGGGAGTGAATGGACAGAGCTTGCTTCATGCCAGTGCTCCAGATTGTGCCCTAAGGTGGTGTAGACATGTCTTATGAGTCTAAAAGTGAATACCTTCTTTTACCTTCTAAAAGTGAATAGAAGTTCTGTTTTCAAAGATAGCAGAACTTTTCAAAGATAGCCAGTCAGATCATTTAATTATATCTGTTTAAGAATAGTAGTAGCCAAAACACTAATGTTTAATTATGGCAGTACCAAGTAAACCAAGTTTGCTTCTGACAACATGTTGAAGTTATTTTTACTCTCTTCCAAGGAACTGGCTTATAGAAGTTGACACTTTAAGTCAGTAGCATAGCACTTGCATATTTTATATACATTATTATAGGTACCGTAATTCACAAGCTGAAAGGGGGGGGGCACAAATAAATTGACAGCATTTACTATACCAAAGAAAAACACACTGAGATTATTTGAATGTTTTTTATTAATGAAAGTAATTAATTTGTTCTCTTAAGTGTTATACAATTTTGACAAAAAAGTTATATAAAACTAGCCTATATGCCTAATAAATCATTTGAAATGCCTCTTGATACTTAGACTTTCTAAATTACCTCTATCTATTTTTTCCACCTCATGTGGATACAGACTAGAATGCAGCTGTAAATATGGCAGAAGAGGTTTCTACATTGTCAGATGTCTTTTTCCTTGCCCCTTTTCAACTTGTAAAGCCATAGGACAGCTATGCACAAAAACAATCCCTGTCCTCTTGAAACAAAAACACAGGAGATATTCATTATGACTCTCTTGTCCTCAGTGGAACAGGACTTTGTAAAAGAGGGTGGTGAGGATGCTCTCTCTTTCC